ATTCGGGTGTTTTCTTAATGTTTGCGGGTAAAATTTAGAAGGGGGTAAATTCGGGTATTTTGCAAATTTCGTTGAAAATACTAAACTAAAGAAATTTCAGTAAATAATATTTTATATTTACTAAATATGCATAATTATTTTATTATACCCTTTTACATTTTTATTGACTTATAAAAAAATTAATTTAATTCATTTTTTATAACAGGCCAAATGCGCCAGAAAATTTAAAATATAACTTGTTTTTTTTACTCTTACGGGTAAGATCGAGTATTTTGTAATTTTTGGTCGGAAACTTTCATGACATTCATCCGGCAACACTGTACCATGAAACACAAAAGCCAAAAAAGCAGCTCAAAGATTGACCATATTTGTTTGGAAGAATTGTTATAGTTGTTAAACCTTATGTAATCCACAAGTGATCTGTATGAACACAAACCAAACGTATGTCTCAACTGTTTTATTGTGATAAATTGATTACCTATTTTGTAAACATTGCTTATGTGTTGTTGTAAGTTTAGGGCTGTTGGGGAGATAAAAAATAATTTTAAAATTTATTTTTTCGCTCCACCCTACTGGGCACAATTTTGTGGGCCCATTTTTGAGACACCCTAGTAAATGTGAAATAATTCACAAGCATTTGAATATTAAAAAAATGATCAACGACAAGCAACGATAGATTTTCTGAAACTAGCCGGACGAAAATTGCACCTGAAAATAAGAGGCTAAAAGAATATTTTCCAATACGATTTTTTATGTTAAATTGGGTAAATAAAAAATAATACTAAAATAATAATAATTTATTAACTAACCTTAAAAATTAAATCACAAGCTTTGGAATTTCGGTTGGAATACCTACTTAAATTAAATATTTTTGAATGGTTGTTAAAATTACTTACTAAAAATTATTTACAGTTTCATAATCACATTGTTGACATTTAAGTTGTCCGTTTGTCTTTTTTGATGACTTTAAATCTTAGTTTTAAACACTTTTCCTCGCGACTTCCTAATAATTCTTTGTTCGAAAAATTTAAGAGAACAGTGTTTACCTCCAACACTTCTGGATTCTGGTTTTTTCCAATTTCTGTAAAAAGTGCATTTATTAGTTTGTTTAAAAACACCATATAGTTTATTCGCTCAGACATAAAAATTTCTTAAATTATGCCAAAATAAAAAATCAGTTAAAATCTAATGATTTAATTTAACCTCGCGCGGTATTGGTAAGAAAATTCCACACCAAATTGTGTTTAAAATAAAATCATTTTATCATTTATATTTTTTGACTTGTAACAATGCCTATTTTTTTTATTTGACAAGGCACGGAAATACAATATTAATAGCTCTTAATATTGTATTTCCGTGCCTTGTCAAATAAAAAAAATTGCATTGCATTGTTATAAGTCAAAAAATATAATTTATAACTACTTAACATAGTACAATCTTCAATTTTACTACAAGTGGTAGAAAATTGCTTTGTTTAGGAATATTTGCTTTTAAATTACTCAAAATTGAAAGTAATAAATAAATGGTAAATAAAGAAGTCTCTAAATATTACATACATATATTTATCAGACATAGATATTGAATTGATTCGAGTCCTACTTTTTCGCCTTTAATCAGAAAGAAGGTGGCAGAAGAATGCAGAAAACATCTCAACTATGTAATTGAAATGTATCAAAATTAAATAAAGAAATTAAAACTAATGTTGTCAAAAAAAATTATTCTGATTATGTCAAAAAAATGGATGTTGGTTACCTACCCAAGCGAAAAAGAATTTCAAAAAAATACATGTTTGACCTGTCAAAAAAACCAATTTTGATTGGTTAAAAAGTACAGGTGTGGAATTTTCACTGGGATACTTTGTTTCTCGGTTACTATCAACTTTAGAACTAAGTTTGGTCAAATCGTAATATTTTTACCCAAGGAATCTGCAGTTTTACTGTGTGCCATTAGTTATGGGAGTCCCAGTATAGGCTTATGAGTGTTATAATATAAAAATTGTTACATGCTTAAAAAGTAAAATGCAACTGACTTTTATACAGAAACTTAGAGGTGGTATCTTAACCATACTGGCTCCCATAATATAATTTTGTATGTATAATCCACACATATGGTAATCTATTGCTTAAGCTATTTTAATTTTTTTTTACTATTCCAAATTTGTTTAAACATTGTACCCTATATTTTAACCAAAAAATCAAATTCAAATTGTAAACGAGAATGACTATTAAATTTACTAATAAATCGCATTTGATTTTGAACAAGAAATCAGAGGTGCAGATGATATAGAAATTTATAGCATTAATATTAAAACAAAAATGCTACTTTCTTTGTGACAAATAATATTTGCGCTTGTTATTCTTGCAAGATCTGCGGATTTATGGTTTTGTGGCTTGACTTTTACTAGGACGATGTTTGCTATACATATACATATGGGGTTTGAAACTTTTAAATAGCGCGGTCTTAAGTCAAAATTAGCGCGTCCCTAGGTTCCGAAATACAAAAAATGGTATATGAAATCGGATAATTTAATTTTATGGTCGTTCGCATTTAACTTTTATGCAACCTCTTGTCAGGGACTGAAATTTAAAAAAACTTACCCTTTTCTGCTCTTGAAAGGACTTTTTTCGCAACTATTTCTTAATTTACGACTTCTTCACTGTCGCTCCTACAAGAATATTTAATTTTACACACTAAGATAAATAAATCATATAAACTGCGCACTAGACTGGGCCAAAAAAATCAACTATTTTTTTTTGAAAAGTAAATCGAAAATATGGTTTGGGGTGACAAAAAAAATTATTGTGAAAGTTTGAGTCCATAATATTAATATTAAGAGGTCTATCATCGCAATTTTAATTTTTTTTCCTCGGCAAGTTTTTGTCCCAGAACTCCCAAAATTGACTTGAAAATATTTTTTAAAGAAAATTAAAATTTGGTTTTGACTTCAAATTTAACCTTGAATAACTTTTGATGGAGTGAATTTAGCCCATAAGAATATTTATCGTTTTTTTTTTCGGGTACTGATTTTTACATGAATTACAAAATTCCAAAGTTAAAAGATCAAATTGTAAAACTATACAAATTTTTAAGGCATGATTGTAAGAAAACGGTTCATCTGACGGGAAATTCCAATCAAACTTTTTTTGTAGAGCATTTAATTTTCTTAAAAAAAATATTTAAAGTTTAAATGATTAAAATGCCAATGCCATGCTGAGATATAGAGATTTGGTTGTTAGTAATATTTGGAAGAATTGGTAAATGATATTCAGGAAGAATGGGATACACCAGGAATTTCTAAGGAACTTAGTCGAGGGAATGCCCAGGAGGGTTAACGAAATATTACGGGTTAGGGGAGGGCCAACGAAATATTGAAATTGTTATTGTTATTGTTATTGTTTGTTACATTTTTCTGTTAAATGTTGTAGTTTTGATTATGATTAAATCTTCGCATAAAATTTTCAAAAATGAACAAAAATATTTAACTTTAATAACAATTAGATAGGTACTTATCAGTGATAAGTTATCACTAGTGCGCAATGTAAATGTAAGTTATGTAACATTATCCTAACCACTTAAACAAATTGCAGTAATTTCGCCCAAAAAATGAATCCCCAAATGGCATTTTAATAATAAATATGCAAGAAACACGCCAGCAATCGGATTTTATTAGGACATTTAAAAGCAGGGAATTGTTTTCGAATTTCGATTCTTGGTTTCATCTGAAACTTAAATTTGACAACTGAATCACAATCAGGTCAAAATTATAAAGAAAACATGTCACGAACGTAAATATCGGTTCAGGTTTAGTTTTCGCAAATTTTCACCAAAATGTCATTTTGAAAAAGTGGTATTTGCTTAGGCCCCTCTGAAAATAATAGGAGTGTGTTGCTTGTCGCTTGTTTAGAATTATTGAAGGAACAATCTTTCACCACCTTATTTTCTTGTTCTTAAAAAGACTGAGTGTATTGCCTACCTAAAAGCCTTAAAACGGGGCTTGGATGAAGTTATTGAAATTTTTCTCCGTTTAACATATCACCCTTGAAGAACCGTGATCTTAATATCTATAGCATGAATTGCCAGAGGATGAAGCTAGCAGACAACACAGGCCAAAATAAAATCGTTCAAGAAACAAAAAAGTTATGTCGTTTTGAAAAAGGACGAACTTTTTGGTCGCGACACATTGAGTTGCGCAGTTTATATCCTTTACAGAGTGTTAATAAAGTAGTGCACCAATTGAAGGTGTGTGATCCACAGACCCCCAGAAACCCCAGAAAATTGTTAAAAAAATTCTACCTTTATTATTTAAAAAGATATGACAGAGTTATCATTGAGTTTTAAACTTAAAAATAATAGATTAACCTTGTTTATATTTTGTTTTACATTGATTTCATTAGGAATTAATTTTTAACGTAAAATAAATAACCTCTAACTGAATTGGTGAGATTAAAAATAGTACAAGTCTAAAAGTTAAAATTATTTCATAAAATCATTTTTATAGTTCAGAAAGCATTTTCTGGGAATATTCCAACTATTTTATAAAAAACACTAGTGATATTTTGTAAAATATTTTGTAAAAATTAAACTTTTGAACTTTTACTGTTTTAGATCTCACTTATTCAACTAACGAATTTAGTCAATTAATTTTGACACTGTTTGTTGTCATTATAATTAAGAATGAAACTACCACTTTATGAGTATGCAATGTTGCCATATAAATATGCATTTTCTGTATCTTTTTAAATAATCAGGGTAGTTTTTTTTAAACAATTCTCTGGGATTCCCATGGGGTCTTCAAGGTAGTGCGCGAATTATGGAAAACTCTGTATACTTTTAAAAAGTTTAAAATTAATTTAATTTCTGGTGGTTTCACAGAAACCAGTAAATCTCTGAATAGTTATGGCTAATAAAATTATTATTAGTTAACAGGTAAAAACCCGAGAATTAAATTAAAAGTTTCTGTATAAAATATATGGTTTAAAAAATATAATATACCTAGTGCTTTAAATTATACTTTTCCTGCTGCTTACCCTTTTTCAAGAAACATTTCTTCTTTAGCTGTAAATTTCAGTTTGACTTGTTGGGCTCCATCAAAATTGCCTTTTTTATCTTTGGACGTTTCTGATTCTTGTTTCACCCTTGATTCATTGTAGTCTATAAAGTCATTATTTTCCAATGCTTCTTTGATTTCCTGTTTGATTGCTATCCTAGATGATAAAGGCATTTCTTGTTCAAAAGAGGTTGGTCTTGGTTTATCGTAATTCATTGAAGTATAAGATTCTTTGTTTGATTCCTGTTTTATTGCTATCCCAGATGTTGAAGGCATTTCTTGGTCAAAAGAGGTTCGTCTTGGTTTATCGTAATTCGTTGAAGTATAACCTTTGGGTTCTTTAGGTTCCTTTTTAACAATTATTTGCTCCATTGTGCAAAGCAACTCTACAAAATAAATTCACGGGCCTTATAATATTATATTGATGGTTTTCCGGGATCTGCTCCGTGATGTCGGTTTTTGGTTCTTAAAAGTTAGATGTGGAATCTACGTCTAACTCGCAGGAAAGCAGCAACAGCAGCACAGCAGATATGACCTGAAGATGGTACATGAGATTCTTTTAAGAACCAAAAACCGACAACATGGAGCACAATAAATATATATGTATATATATATATATATATACATTTATATAGGGTGTTTTAAAAAAACAACAATTATTTTTTTCCAATGGTGTTGACAAATTAATAGTACATTAAAAAACAAACATTTTGGCGCCTATTTGAGCCCTTAATATTAATATTAAGGTTTGCCTCAATTCATTTGTTGTTTTTCCATTTCAATAACACGGAAATTTTTTTTATTTTGAATTCTTATAACTTTGGAATGGTTTGTTTTCGCAACACCCAACGTAACTCACAAAAAGCACAAATACATAAATAAAAAGATTATTAAAAATATTAAATAAATGATTATTGGGTCTCTTTTATAACAAATTTATTTTGTTTTCTGCTAAATATTAAGAAATTTTATTGAACATTAATTCTATACAACAAAAAACAATATTTAACAACTAGTTATGAAATTTTTTTAACTTGAAAATATTACAGTCGTATAAAATTACTTTTAAATAAAATACAATGATGAGTGTTTGGTTAGTTAATGTAATAAGGAACTTTACATTTTCATTTTAAAAAAATTTATAAATTTTATAAAATATAAAATAAATTTGTTATAAAAGAGACGCATAAATCACGTATACAAGTATTATATTTTTAATCTTTATATTTATGTATTTTTGCTTTTTTTGAGTTACATATTGACTTAATTAGCAAAAAAAAGTTTACAGTCTCAGGTTAACAGAATTAAAGCGATTTTACATAAAAACTAATATAAATATGGCATGATATAATAATAATAATGCTTTATTGAACTAAAACCAAGTTCAAAGGCTTTAGTTCAATAAAGCATTATTATTATTATATCATGCTATATTTATATTAGTTTTTATGTAAAATCGCTTGATATATTTTTGTAGTTTTATTGGAAAATATTTGAAATTTTTTTATTAGTGTTATTTTTGATAGCTGATATCTTTGAAACGGTTGATCTGAAGAACTTTGACCTTCAAATGTTTTTTGTAGAGCATGAAATTTCCTATAAATCCTCTCGCTTGGGTGTTGCGAAAACAATCCATTCAAAAATTATAGGAATTCAAAATTATAAAAAAACCGTGTTATTGAAATGGAAAAATCACAAATGAATTGAGGCAAACCTTAATATTTATATTAAGGGCTCAAATAGGCGCCAACATATAATATATATCGGCCATTCCACGCGTAACGGATGGGACAGTTACAAGTTTTTATTTACAAAATAATATTGTTCTCTTATATTACCAATGTCAAATTTTTATAAATAGTTCTAAACAAAAGTTGTTTAAAAAGGTTTTTATTTGGCAAAAATGGGTATCGTGGTTGTCTGTTTAATTCCTTAAAAATTAATTTTTTTATTCAAAAACAGTACTAGTAGTCTTTTTGAATAAAAAAAATAATTTTGAAGGAATTAAACAGTCAACCGATACCTAATTTTGCCAAATAAAAACCTTGTTAAACAGCTTTTGTTTAGAACTATTTATAAAAATTTGAAATTAGTAATATAATAGAACAATGTAATTTTGTAAATAAAAACTTGCAACTGTCCCATCCGTTACGCGTGGAATGGCCGATATATAGGCTGATATATTGGTATCGGCTAAAATTCTTTTTTGTGTAACAATTACTGAAAAATAAAGGAAAACCAGTGGCATACAAATTAATTAATTAATTATTTTTTAACTTTAACACCCTGTATCTTAGAAGGAGGCATATTTTCTTTGCCAAATACTATTTCATTTCCTACCTTTTTTTTCACACTCAATCTCTAGTTTTTTTAAAATTCTCCACAAATTTGTTCGAGAAATGGGTGGTAAGTTATCATCATCCTTTACCACCTAAAATAAAGGAAAAATAATTATTACCAATTGGTTAACACAAAGCTTATGTTTTAATAATAATAAAAACATTTACAACAATTTTTAAAAACTATTTTTATTTGACAGCACCTTCAGGTTACCATGGTCACAAGCAGAGCTGGGAAGTAATCGATTACTTTTGTAATCGATAAAAGTAATTAAAGTCATCACCATGTAACCATGATTACTACAAAACATAATATTATAAGTATATAATACATAATATGGGTGACATCCACAATATCGAAATTCATTATATCGAATTCAAAATATCGAACACTTTTTATCGAAAATCAAAATATCGAAAATATAAAATGTCGAAAATCATAATATCGAAAATTAAAATGTCGATTTGAAAATGTCGAAATTTTATTTAATCGAATTTTCGATTTATCGAAAATAAAATCTCGACCGCTGTCATACAGGTTATGACGAATAGCTGTCATCTTGGTTATGCAGGTACACTGCATTGTGCCATACCAAACCAACCCAAACTTAACAACCCAACCCAACCGACCCCGCCCCATTGGGCCCCTCCCGCCCCATTGAGCAATAGAGGTATAATATATCTAAGGGCAGGCTGGATTGTGACAATGGGGCGGGAGGGGCCCAATGGGGCGGGGTCGGTTGGGTTGGGTTGTTAAGTTTGGGTTAGTTTGGTATGGCACAATGCAGTGTACCTGCATAACCAAAATGACAGCTATTCGTCATAACCTTGAGGAATACTTTGCTACATTTAGCCTCTAGTTGAAAATGAGGTTAAAATATGCGACGGTTGAGCACACACATTTCTACGTCCGTCCGACGGTCGAGCACACACTTTTCTACGTCCGTCCGACGGTCGGGGAGACACTACCTTTAATTATTCGACATTTTCAAATCGACATTTTAATTTTCGATATTATCATTTTCGACATTTTGAATTTTCGATATTTTGATCTTCGACATTTTGTATTTTCGATATTTTGATTTTCGATAAAAAGTGTTCGATATTTTAAATTCGATATAATGAATTTCGATATTGTGAATGTCACCCACATAATATAATGGTATTTTACCAGTGAGTGGAGACTTTAAAGAATTCTTAATCAACGCTTTTAATAATGCTAAATGCTGTTTGCATTTAGACGACTTAGGTATTTGTTTGACGATTTTTACTGAATTGAAATGTTTACACTTTTTACGTTAATCATTACTAAAATGTGTATTTATTGTATCTAATAGATAAAATTTATATTTTCCCTGCAGGGACTGTATGATTTTTATTTTTTCATTCGGATTAACACTGTTTATTGAAAAACCGATAAAAACTCAACCCAGGATCTCCTCTCGAAATACACCCAAGAACACAACAAATCGTGCCACGGTTTTTTTTTCGATATTTTTTAACATTTTCCGGCTTTATTCTCAAAAAGACTCGTTTGTAACACACGCGTTTGAGAGCTGATTATCAAAAGTTGTACATTTGTTAAGATGATAACAGCCGAGTGGTGGCGCTACTAGCGATACTTCTTTAGCGTATATGGTTAGGGTTGCAGACCTTCTATATTTCATAGAAGTGTTCTATATTTAACGAAAATCTTTTATCTTCTATGCTTCTAAAATATAGAAGAAAAATATTTTATATTTTAGCATTTTATAATATAAACAATACAACATTTCAATATAGTTGGATTTAAAATCTCAGATCTTAATCGGAAAAATTAAATTGCCAATAGAACTTGCAGAAATAAAAAAATTTAATGAACTTTTTTTTTGAGATAAAGGGTTCTAAGTTAATAAAAAAAGTATTGTCATGTTTATGCTTTTTTATGGGCGTTTCTCTGTAAACTGGGCAACTTGAAGTAAGAAAGTGTTTTTTTGTTATATTTTTGTTGTATTTAATAAATGTTATTCCAGGAATAAATATCGGTCTATTTATTAGTATACGGCAGATGAACCAAAAATATTCCTATTACTTTGGAAAACATTGATCATTTTCTGAAAAATCTATACAGGGGACTGTTTATAACATCCGGAGACAAAGTTTAGATGACTTTTTTAGAATTACAAAATAATAATTATAAAAAATAAATAAGTCACAGTAACAAGCAAACAATATTGGTTGAATAATTAAACAATTAGGTTGATTCCAATAGTTACTGTCTTTAATTAATTTAGTCTGAAGTGACCATTTTGCTTAGGTGACACGTCAGGGGACTGGTTTTTAAGGACTATAAAAACGATTTTGATACATTAAAGTTTATTTTATTTGATTTTGAACGTCGAGCATAGGTAGATTAGGTTATTATCTTTTGAAGTTATCTACGAAATATTTATGATCTGTTATTTTTCTAAACAATATTAGCTTGAGACAATGAGTTGCCCAGTTTACAGAGAAACGCCCTTATAAGTTTGATTTTATAATTAGATTAGGCAATTACAAATACAACTTATTTGTCTATTGCATTACTTTTCTATCTTGCTTAATTTTCATGTAAAAAATTAAATTCGTTTATTCCCAGATTCGTTTTCATGTAGGTAATATTATTTAAGAAAAGTATAAAGTTGACCAACTTTCCATTACATTATGTTATGTTAAATGCTGGGTAAACACGTCCATAGGGTTATACAGTTTTATCTTTTAAATTAAATTATTATATTATATTATATATGTTATATTACATTAAGTGCTAGCTAAATCCACCTTTATTCTTAATTCTTCTATTTACGGAATTTTGATTTCTGGCAACCCTATATATAGTAAACCCTCAATTTTATTTATTGTTTGCATTACATGTTATTTCTATTCAATTAGTACCTAAACATATTTTAATTATATTCCTAATTACTTACTTGATGAATTTTACTTAAATTTGGGGTTTCATTTTTCATAAAAAAGTTATGAACAATTTTCCCAAGGTGCATTTTTTGTTCCTCATTCAATTTTTCGTATTGACTTGACCGTTTTCTTTTTTTTGATGGGGACGTAGCCTTTCCCTCTTGTTCTATTTGTTTAATGGTTGCCCAAATGGTACCTTTAGAAATACCAGTTTCCTCTGATGTAAGTTTTACACTAGAACTTTTTGATTTTCCTGTAGTGATATGTTTCTTTACGACATCAAAAAGTATTTTTCGTTGTCCTTGTCCAATATATTGTCCAGATTTATTTTTTGTGACAGAGGGTTGATTCTCCACATTGTCCATATTGTCTTCCTAAAATGTAAAATAAATTTAAAAAACATTTTTCTTTTATTAAGCGATTTTACCTGTTGATTAGTAACAAATTATTAAGAAAACTACGATTTAAACTGTTAAAAATGCGTTAGGGGCTCTAACCAATAAATCGCACAGCAAACAATAAAATAACCAATATTTGTTATATGATAACCAAATACACACACAAGTTGTGTGTGACACAACAAGCAGAATCGCAGAATAAATAAATAAACTTAAGTTTATTCAATAAACAGCTGATGTTCAGAAAAATATGAAATAGAAATTATGCTGCTGCCACCTGGCGGCAGCCGCCATTTAAAACAAATTGAATGCTACGTTGCCAATGTGCGATGAACTAAACCCAGGGCTGGATGCTCCCGCGGACGAGTTTTGGTTCGCGCCGCGCATGACGTCACCTGATGAGTAGTTGCAGCGCGAATACACGTATAATGCCTATATTATCAAAGAAAATAGACAAATATCTGGACATAGTGCGTTATTTTTAAACTTGATATTGAAAAAAATGTTATAACACTTTACTCAATGGTTATAATATGGATGATAGATGATTTGGAAAAATATTTGATACTATTTAAATCTATTTTTTGTTGTAAATTTGATATTAAAAGTATTTTATTAGTATGGATGCTAGTAATATTATCAAAACATAAAGAAATATCTGGACATAGTGCGTTTTTTGTGAATTATTATCAATAATACTACCACCAACCCCATTATCAGCAATTTCTGGTGGTTCTTCCACCCTATTAATTGATAAATTTAAAAATACACATATGAGCAGACTAATAAATGCTTAAAAACTTACGTGTCTCTTGACGCTAGAAGGATATTACTAATAAGTTGAGCCTTTTCCAAGTGTTCTTTGGGCTTTTCCCTTTTTTCACTTAAAAGTTTACGATTGTGTCCACTTGTTGACGGCACAGAAGAAACCTGAGTTCGAGGTAAATTTTGAGTAGGCACAGCATCATCTTTCAGTCCACGATAACGTTTAGGGCTGCAGTTTAAGAGTTTATGTTTTAAATTAAAGTTGTAGTCACTGTCCAGAAAATGTTTAGAGCAAACAGTAGCGCGCTTAACGTTAATTTTGTCTCTTCTTTTCGTTGCATGTAACCACTTTTTGCACAAACTTATATTTTTCGGAAATGGTATTTAATGTCTTTATTTGTAGGGTTTTTCTTGGACTGGTTGTCCGAAATGCATCCAAATATGGCACAACGCATTTTAATAAATGCAAATGGCACAACACAAACTAATAGCACAAACAGAACAGGTTAACACAAAGCAATAACAATAATTTAAACACTGAAAAGTAATTCTAACCTTACAGAATGCAAAAACAACAAGTTAAACAAAAAAACAGAGCAATTTAACATCTAACAGCTTCGCAAAAACCAGAATTTTAGCGGCAGATAATTAAAACGAACGTTAGAGATTTAAAACTACTCATCAAGTGACGTCATGTGACGTATTTTAGCTCCGCCCACCATGCGCACCATCCTATCTTATGTTGTATGTATCTTGAACTAAACCCAAGATACATACAACATAAGATAGGATGGTGCGCATGGTGGGCGGAGCTAAAATACGTCACATGACGTCACTTGATGAGTAGTTTTAAATCTCTAACGTTCGTTTTAATTATCTGCCGCTAAAATTCTGGTTTTTGCGAAGCTGTTAGATGTTAAATTGCTCTGTTTTTTTGTTTAACTTGTTGTTTTTGCATTCTGTAAGGTTAGAATTACTTTTCAGTGTTTAAATTATTGTTATTGCTTTGTGTTAACCTGTTCTGTTTGTGCTATTAGTTTGTGTTGTGCCATTTGCATTTATTAAAATGCGTTGTGCCATATTTGGATGCATTTCGGACAACCAGTCCAAGAAAAACCCTACAAATAAAGACATTAAATACCATCGATTTCCGAAAAACATAAGTTTGTGCAAAAAGTGGTTACATGCAACGAAAAGAAGAGACAAAATTAACGTTAAGCGCGCTACTGTTTGCTCTAAACATTTTCTGGACAGTGACTACAACTTTAATTTAAAACATAAACTCTTAAACTACAGCCGTATCGTTATCGTGGACTGAAAGATGATGCTGTGCCTACTCAAAATTTACCTCGAACTCAGGTTTCTTCTGTGCTGTCAACAAGTGGACACAATCGTAAACTTTTAAGTGAAAAAAGGGAAAAGGCCAAAGAACACTTGGAAAAGGCTCAACTTATTAGTAATATCCTTCTAGCGTCAAGAGACACGTAAGTTTTTAAGCATTTATTAGTCTGCTCATGTGTATTTTTAAATTTATCAATTAATAGGGTGGAAGAACCACCAGAAATTGCTGATAATGGGGTTGGTGGTAGTAGTATTATTGATAATAATTCACAAAAAACGCACTATGTCCAGATATTTCTTTATGTTTTAATAATATTACTAGCATCCATATTAATAAAATACTTTTAATATCAAATTTACAACAAAAAATAGATTTAAATAGTATCAAATATTTTTCCAAATCATCTATCATCCATATTATAACATTTTTTTCAATATCAAGTTTAAAAATAACGCACTATGTCCAGATATTTGTCTATTTTCTTTGATAATATAGGCATTATACGTGTATTCGCGCTGCAACTACTCATCAGGTGACGTCATGCGCGGCGCGAACCAAAACTCGTCCGCGGGAGCATCCAGCCCTGAACTAAACCTTCCGAAAAAAAATAATCTGTCTAAAATTAAAATATTTTCGACAAATTGAACCAATATAATATAATATTATTATTTTAATATTATAATAATAATAATAATAAGTAATAAGTAATTTAACATACCTATATGAGTATTCGAAGCTCTTTTAAATTTGTTTGGTCTTCTAAACTTTCTATTGCCTTTAAGCCTGATTTATAGATTGCCTTTCTTCCTTCCTCCCGTAGAAGATAAACAATTCAATCCCGTACGAAATCTATAAACAGTACGGTTTTCGTATTGTTCATCTTTTATGGGAGGAAGGCAGGAAGACAATCTATAAATCAGGATTTATAGATTACCGTACGGGAATTTATAAACAGCACTACGGTTTTCGTATTGTTCATCTTTTACGGGAGGAAGGAAGGAAGGCAATCTATAAATTAGGCTTTACTTGATATAAACATTTATTACTCAACGATATAATGTATAGTGTAGACAGAGAAACATAGAGAGTTTATGGAGAAACATGTCTGTGGACACAGTTTATTTTTTTTATCTGGACTCGTGTTTTTTTGTTAGGTTGGTGGCTTATGCCAGTTTGACTTGGTATTTTTAGTATTTAAAAATGGTATACCATTTAGTATACTTCTGCTAAAGATTCTTTAGTAAAGAATTTAATTTAATTAAAAAGTGTCAAATTCGTTACTTTTGCTTAGAGGTTATTTATTTTACATCAGACTTGACAGAAGCAAATACAGAGAGTTTTTTGTCAGGAACTAATATGACATGATGTCAACAGATAACAATAAATTGACTAATTAATTGTTGTGCACATCCTGTTGCCAAACGCATGTGTTAAAGTTAAAATGCATTTTTTTTATAAAATGAAACATTAATTCCTAATATAACCAATCTATATAGACTAGAAACATTGTAATATTGTAACATTGTAATAAGTTATTATTGTTTTTAAATTTAAAAACTTCATGTTTACAATCTCATATCTTTTTAAATAATAAAGGTAGATTTCTTTTTTAAATTTTCTGTGATTCCTGGGGGTCTGTAGATCTTCCACTTTTAAGGTGGTGCCCAACTTTTGAGACGCCATGTATACATTTGGAGAGGGTTAAATAAAAACCAAATTAGTTTCTAAACAAAGACCTTATATATTAACAATTACACGAATAAAATACAAAAAAAATATGTAACAAATGTTGGAAACGATAGGTACAAGTCCTTTCATATAAATGATTTTAATTGCTAAGATTTTGGAGACACACTTTTTTCAACAAGTTTTCAAGCTTTGAACGCGCCATTTTTACAATCGCAATCGCAATACGCGAAGTGTAAAGCTACCTTACAGATACATTTTTAAATTTTTATTATTTTAAAATATAATGTATGCTTTTGTTAATGGTTATTTTTTAAATGCTCTTTAAAATTATTTGCCAATGTTGATTTATAAGTACAATATTTGCAAGAATATATTTTGGAAGTGATGATACTTTTATTGTTTTCGTTCAATAAATCGAAATGGTTTCTTAAAATGTGGTTGTCTAAACTAGTTTTTCCAGTACATTGATAATGACAGAAAGAACATTTCAAGTCTTTTATTTTAGTATGAGTCTTAATATGCCTTGTTAAACTACTTTTTTTAATAGCTCTAAAGTGGCAAATTTGACACTTATACCATTCGACATTTTTCAATTTCAAACAAACTTTAATATGATTCGTATAATGTGTTTTATATGGAGTTGAATATGTACATTTAGTGCACGCATGGATTTTACTTGTTATTTTTATTTTATTTTCTCCTTCATTTTCTAGTTTATGTTTGCTTAATATGTGCCCATTTAAATTCCTTAATTCGGCAGCCATGTATGGACAGAAATGGCATTTTAATTTATTTTTTTTAACGTGAACTTTTAAATGCCTAATAAAATTATATTTACTAACAGTTACATAATCACAATTGTTGCATTTAAATTGTTCCTGTTTGTCTTTTAAATGTAATTTTTTTTTATGATTGAATAAACCCCCCTTTGTTTGATAATGTTTAAGACAAAAGTCACAATTAAATAACTTTTCATTGCTATTCATATCACTATATTGAACCCCATGATATTCCACCTCGATTTTCGTCTCAAACTTGGCTTCATCCTCATCTTTATCTTCATTGCGTGCCGAATTTTGATCATCTTCTTCAGAAAAGTCACTGTCCCTTTCTTCTTCCTTAATATTGCAATAGAAATCTTCACTTTCATCTCCAACATCAGAATTGTCAC